TCCCCCTACATCCCCGAGCAACTGCTGAATAGTCCTCCTTAGTGATGACCCCTCCTTTCCATTGGGAGTAAGCCTCCTTTTTGGCAAGGAGACATTCCCGGATGTTTTTAGTGAGCCATGGAGGCTTATATGCTCTCCTGCCCCCTTTGAACCTCCTGGGGATTACCTTCCTCTGGGCTTGGAGGATCGTCTCCTTAAGGAGCGACCACTCCCTTTGGACACCCGGCTCCCCTCCCCTCCGACTTGGCTGACAATATCAGGTCTTGCCCAGGCATATGCCCAGGAAGTACGTACCAGCTCCAGAAGCCTTATGGAAATCATAAAGTAGAGAGATATAACTGGATTAAATGCCATGGTTTGAGTTATATGTGAAAGCAAGTTAGATGATCTGCTAACCCCTGTTGGGTTACAACTACAGAAGGAAAAGGGTTCAACCTTGTAGCTTCCGGACAGCTCATGGCTAGTAGTAGTAAAGCAATTTAGTCATTAAAAAGTGATCTCTCAAAATTAGATTTAAGTTAATATTAATGTTTTGCACATTAAGGAAATTCACAATTAACATAAGAGCATACACAGATGGAGTGATTTTGCTTTCTTTTGACACTTGCCTAGAATGGTATAGATTAGAAATAATCCTGTTGTATCCAGGTGTGGGGCTAGATGACCTGCTAAACAGCCCTAATTTTTCTATGATTTGATGATGATTCTTTGAATTTGTGTTATAAGTGGCAGAAAGCTTCTCTCAAACATAATAGTTAAACAGCCAGCAATTGGCAAGCACTTTGAAGATGACACTTACGTGGATACTACCTTGGTTTACTGTGAGAGGAAAAGTTAGCACATCTTTAGTTACTTGTAACAGACATAGGTTTTCATTTCCCATGCCTTTGGCAAAATTTACTATAACTATATACCCACATTTGACTTGAACTTAGCATGGTGGGGCCCTGATAACAAAAGAGCTTCTAAGTGCTGTACAAACACATACAAAAAAGCATAATCCTTACGTCATTGGCTTTCCAATCAACGAGAGAAGTATGAGGGGAGAAGGGTGGGAAGACAGAAAAAACAACGTGTATGTTTGAAGCTAATGAAGTTAGGGGAGGTGGTTATACGGCAGCACGATCCCCTGTATATTGCACACACAGAGGTCAGGGTCCTTTGCCAGCATTCCCATATGGAAAGCTTCTCCATGCCTATTATTCTACTTCAAATAGGCTAGGCTGCAAGCCAATTCCACATTCCCTTCCTTGGGAAGATATAAAAGATAGTTCTAAGAGATGTGTCAAAATCTTAAATAACCTACTTCATGTGCCTTGAAAATAATGTTTATTAGAGTAATTTACTCAACTTACTCTGTGAATCAAGTAATTCTTTAAGTGCCTGTATCCACTGGTTGCACAGCTGTTCATCAATGCACCCAAACGTTATTTCACTGCACCGCCAGCGGTGGTTTCGTGCTCTTTTAACATAATGCACTGTCAAAAGAAGTCAGTTTAATCCCATAAGTTTTGCATGAAGTCTGAAATGCACTTTTTGTAGCTTGTGCTCATACTTAAACACTAAAACATAATGAAAAGGCATTAATGGGTACAAAATTATGACCATTCCTTCCTGGAACATTTTTCTATTGGAATGATGACGAATGAAAACTTTCATATAAAAAGTGTTCAAAAATGTGTTTCACATCACCAGATAACAAAAAACATAATCACAGTAATTCCTTTTAAGTTCAAATTACAGTTACTGCTCAAATATTGAAAACAGACTTTAAAAAGAAATACTACATTTTCCAGAAACCAATTACAGAAGTGATTTGAGAAATGCAAAAGCTACTCTATCCATGTGCCTGAATTTTTGTTTGGAAAAAAATACATCATTTCAAGTTTGAAAAGTTCAATTAATAACTATTTTTTAAAATGCATAGGCTCAGAATCTCCAATTTCACACTAGATGACAGAGAGACTAAAGGAATGGAGTGCAATTAAAAAAACCTTTTAAAAGTCAATTTTAGTCCTCTCTGGTAGTATGTGTGTATAGGGGAAGAGAACCAGGAAGTAAATCTCTCTCTCATGAGTAATAAATACACCTAAAGGTTTGAAGAATATGTTCTGGCCACACAGTACTGACATTATGTTTGCGTCAGGAGAACAGCCTCTCCTAGCACAAAGACAGCATACAGCCATTCAAACGCTTTCCTGCAGAAGAAAAAAAAAGGATCTTTTACAAGAAAGTTCTACCTCTTCCAACCAGGAAGAACTCTCTCTGCCTGTATTAACTTGAATGGCTGCCCACTTCTCTTGGGGGTTGAGGACACCCAATATCTGTTTCTCCTCCAGCTGTCCAAGGGAAACAGAAGGAGAGAGAAAGTGCTCAGAGTCAAGCTGTTATGGAACCCTGTGGGAACCCCACACCTATCCCACCAGCAAACTTACCTGCAGTATGAGGGGCCATTCTCCTGACTTGGAAACCCTCCTCCAGCCCTAGGGGGGGTCCTGATGAGAAAGAAAAGCCTCTGCCTAGGGCACTCTTCCAGTTCAATCTGGAGGTATAGTTTGGAGGAGACCAGAGGATGGGGGCAGAAAGGCAGGTGCACATGCAGCTGCAGCTGGAGCCATCCTGGAACTTCCCAGGTACAATTGGGAGCTAGAAGATTACCTACCTCACCTCCCTCCATTCTGGTTCTCTGTCCCCAGGCGTTAAATACTACCCTCTCTGGCTCACCACCCTGATTCACAGCCCTGCCACTTTAAATTCCACGTGTTGCCCAGCTGGGTGGTGTACACAGCAATTTAAAAGCTGGGGCCCAAAGTTAGAGAGGCTCTCCATGGCCCCATTTCCCCATACCTCCAGCATGGGGTGCCACCCTGTGTGCACCCCATGTAAGCTGTCAAAGACGTGACTTAAAACCCAGGGAGCTGCCTACTGACAGCCTGCCGCACTTTATCTGCATAGCTCGCCAGCAGAAGGGCTGAAATGCATGTACACTCTAGTCCCTAGCCTATTTTTCTACCTGTAAGAATTTATCTGAAGTTCTTACCAGTAAAAATGCATGCCTGTCTGCGGACTCTAGTCCTCCAACACAAGGTTTGGGCATGCCACCTTTCTGGGGTTAGGGGAAAAGAGTTGACATCACATTGCTAATGAGGCTGGATTACTGTCAGACCTCACTTCAATGTATGACTGAAGTACCTGCATACAAAATACGTGAGAATTCTCAAGCTTGGCAGAAAAGCTGAACACCGGCCAACTTTATTTAGGATTCATTTCCCAATAGCTTTTATTCAATTCCCTAGTGAAGTAGTAGAGAATCTACAATTCTACAATTATTTGCTTGTTGAGAGAGGTATAATAAAGCGAGGGTTATGATTAAATTACAGAACTAAATACAAAAACATAGATAATTAAAAATGTCTTTTTTAAAGCATTTTAATAGTAAAAGAAAACTATTGGTCACATTCTTTTCTATAAAAGCTCTTTGCATAACTTCCTTTTAGATTGAAGGCCTTTTAAAAAGTTTCCTAATTGCTTTCAGAGGACTAAATTATAGACTAGATTTCAAGAATAGGATTAGTTACTATACCTGTGAAAGCATGTGGTTTTGACATTTTTTGCCATTTTCCGCTATCACATTGCTTCTTATCAATTTCGGTTTCTTCTACAGCAATGATCTCAGAGGCTGGGACAACATTTTCTGTGAAAACACAAAATCCATGTATATCAACAATAAAGAAGAATCTTAAAACAGCTTCAAAAGTTTAGTGTAAGTTATATGTTCATATACAGTGTAAGGAGTAAGTGAACATCAGACAAGAAACGATGAAAAAAGTTGGTGCAACTAAGTCAGGAATAGAAGGCAAACTCCTATTTGCCACTTGCCCTTTCTTGGGATGACACTAACCTAAGGCTGCCTTGATCAGTAGAAGCCACACACAACTTTAAACACATGTAACAAATGCGTTTCCTAAAGTTAGGAGAACCGGGAACAGTAAAACTGCCACTGACCCTGTTAGACCTTGTCTGACAGTGGGAGATACTCAAGACTTCAGAAAGGAACTACAAGAAATCATAAGTACAGTAACACAGTGGGAGCTAACTTTTGAGTATCACTCTGATACCCCTTCTATTGCTGTTCTAGTGCCTGTTCTATTGCTCTGGTTTCTGCCTGAGCTCCTGCTCTGCTTTCTGCCTTATCTACTGCTGTGCTTCCTATCTCTCCCTGTTCCGCCCTGTGCCACACTGTAGCGCTGTGCAAAGCTTTGGTTGCTGATTTGATTTGGAGGCGATTCCGCCCAATTTGGTGGCCGAATCTCCGAATCCAAATTGAATCAGGAGATCCATCAAATCCGAAGATTCCAAATCGATTTGGAAAAGAGTCAGAGAGATTTGGACTGGCCGGGAAGAGGAAGACACAGTCAGGTGGCTGCAGGTTCTCCCATGGTTTCTCTGCTTGTGCCTGCCTCTCCCCGGGCAGGGGGAGTCGTGGGAGAAGCCCCATGGCTGTCCTGCCCAGTACCATTCCTCACCTAGCCCCAGCATCCTGGCACTTTAAAAAAAAAAAGCAAAAAAAAGCTCTGCACTCACCAGATGTAGCAGTGGCAATCGGGGCCTCTGAGGGCTCATGGCAGAGCACCCCACCGCAGCATGGGCAGTGGAAGGCAGCCAGGATCACCCCCACCCGCCTGGTACCCACGTGGCAGCTGCCCCATGGTGCAGGTGCAGTGCAGCTTGGCAGAGCACGGTGCGCTGTCTGGGAGCCGGGACTGCTGGGGCTGAGCAGTGCCAGACTCTGGCTGACAGGTAAAGTTGCCCCAGCTCCCAGACAGTGCACAGCACCCTGCCAAGCTACTCTGCACCCGCACAATGCAACAGCTGCTGCGTGGGTACCAAGTGGAGGTGGGGGGGGGACAATCCCCACTACCCCTCATTGCTCCGTGCGGCACAGGGGGGCTCTGCCACAAGCCCTCAGAGGCCCCGATCACTGCTGCTACAGCCGGTGAGTACAGGGATTTTTTTTTCCTTTTTTTTTTTTTTTTTTTTTAAGTGCCGGGAGGCTGGGGCCAGGTGGAGGATGGGGCCAGGCAAGGCAGCCATGGGGGCTTCTCCTGCAGCTCCCTCTGCCTGGGAAGAGGCAGGCACAGGTGGAGGAGCTGTGGGAGAACCTGCAGCCACCTGGCTGTGCCTGCCTCTCCCCAGCTGATCCGAATCCCTGAATCAGCAACAAATCAGTACCGAATCTCTGATTCTGATTTGCCCAGATCAAATGGGGTCAGTGATTTGAATCACCGAATCAAATCACTGTCCTCCAAGTCAGCCAAATCTGAATTGAATACTTCCCTATTCACACAGGCCTACCACACATGCTGCTTGTGCCACCACTTGTGGTACTCATGCCACAGGATTAGCCACCCCTGCAGTAAGACATAGTAAAGGAATATCCTGCCTACAGGGGAAGTTTTTAACCCATTAATTACAGTCAGTTCATGAAAAAGAGCTGTTCATATCAATCCTTAATTTTTTAAATCCTACTGAACACTGCCTCACTAGCTCTTTTGGCAGTGGATTAAATATTAAATCATGCTGCTGCAAAAAAATTAAAAATTCCTTAATATTATTTTACAGTTCTTGTCTTTCAGACTACATAAATTTTGTTACTGTATTATGACAGCAATCCACTACTAAACTCTTCTATAATAGCGCCTCTGTAGCAAGCTACAGGCTGGCACCTGAAGCACTTAGCAAGCTGGCAACAAGCCACCCCATAAAGGGCCTCACCTGGCAAGCAATCAGCAATAATGGAGGGTGGGGTGTTGACTGGCTGACAGGATATAAAAGGACAGGAAGGGGAAGTAAAGTGAGGAGAAAATGTTTGAATGGGGGAGGGAGGATTCCTTGAAGGAAGACTAACAGGGTGAGCCCTAATCCATGCTGGGAGTATTTATTTTGGATTGCTTGAGATTTGTAATTAAACCCTGTGGTACAGTTTAACTCAGGACTTTGAAGCTTGTGTTGCTGATTCCAGGTTAAAAGTGTGCTCATTAGGATTGTTTTTGTTTTCTGGCTGGGTCCTGGGAAGCAGAAGAACCCAGCCTATGCGTCTGAAACCAAAGAAATGGTCCCTTGGACTAGGCTGAAGGGCTCAAGAACTGAACTGAACTGGATGGAGCTGGGCTACATTCTCCTCTCGGTTGTCTTAATTTCTACTGTAAAGAAATTATACACCTCAAGCCTTATCACTTGCATTGCTTTTCTGCTGCACTTTGGGAGGTGGTAAATAATAGTCACTGAAATATTTAAGGTGAAATGAGAATTGTTTCTTGGAATGGTTTCTATTCCACCCTTCATACAACCAACAATTTTGGGTTGAGGAAGGTACAGGAGCAGGTACTGGCTTTATAGAAGTTCTCACTGAGCTGTCCATAATAATCATCTCTTTCCCTATGGATTATATATGCAAGAATAACTTGAATTAATCAGTACATTACATCTGTACACTCTGTCTTCTATATGTTGATACACTTAAAGAATATAGTAGGTTAAAGAGGCACTGTTTTCCTCTACAAATTCTGTGCTTCCTACCCACCTACAACCTATTCATTCAATTGCTTCACCTATTATACCCCACTTCTGGTACTGAAGAAAGGTTTGCTGGTTCATCTTTATAGATCAGTCTAATCCCACTATTACTCTTATTTAGAAAGCTGACTCCTAAAAATTCTATAAATATCTGAAAAATAACAGTTTGGTATAAAATTTGCTAGATGTCGTAGTTGTAAGGTGTGGATAAGATTGAGGCAGCTGTTTCTTTAACAGTCATGAGTATAGATATGAGTGAATGTATTTGCTTAAAAAAGGACAGAAAACTTCAGTTTTACCATGAGAAGGAATTTTGGGGGCGGGGTGTGGGGGAGAATCAAAAACTCAATTAGTGAGCAAAAAAAGCAAGGGAGTTGGGACTGCATTAGCAGGAGTATTGTATACATGACATAGTAGGTAATAGTACCCTTTTACTTGGCACTGGTTAGGCCTCAGCTAGAGTACTGTATGCAGTTCTAGGCTTTGCATTTTTAAGATGTAGATAAGATGGACAAGATCCAGAAACAAGGAACAAAGATGATAAAGGGATTGGAATACAAGCCATATGAGGAAATGTTGAAAGAACTAGGTATGTTTAGCTGGGAGAAGAGAATATGATAGTAGTAGTTTTTAAATAACTGGAAGGTGGTCATAAAAAATACACCATAACGACAATCTTGAGCAACTGTTCTCACTCTCTACAGAGGAAGACACAAAGCAATGGGCTTAAACTACAGGAAAACAGATTAAGATTACATCTCAGAATATACTCCCTTAATGCCAGAACAGTACAATGAGAGAAAAGGCAGCCTAGTGAAGCTGTAGAATCTCTTCATTAGAGCCTTTCAAGAAAAGGCTGGATAAGCTTTTGACAGGGATGGTTTAGGAACAGCGTATCGTGCATTCATGCAGGGGTTAAATGAGCCCGATGTCCTTTCCAGCCTCAGGACTGTATACCTAATTCTTTCATATTGGGTTGCGACAGCAAATGGCCAGCTCTTTCAATACACTGGGTGAAAAAAAGTTATTTTAATGCTGAGTTACTTTGACTCTTTGAATATGAAGTAGTAAATAAAAAAAACTAATAAGGGGGTGGGAGTGTGTGGGAGAAGATGGCCAGGAGAAAATGAGGTGGGTTTAGCTCTACCTTTTTGCCACTCTTTGCATCTTATCTTTTATTTTGAAATAACTGGCACATTCCAATGAGCTCGATAAGGGAAGACAGCTTTGTTATATTTATAACAACTGCAATTTAATTATCAAATTCACTTTCATATTACTTGCATATGCTAAATGGAAATCATTCCAATTAAATAAAACTTAAAATGCCAGATTGTTTTAATGCCCATTTTGGAAAAGAGCTTTGGTGACTGGATGCTAAGGGTAGTAAAAGAAGGCACATTTCTTTATTGTACATTGTCTATATACCAAGGAAATAAAGCTGCCCAAACCCACAGATAACAACTGGGTTACTGCTTGAAAAATATTCAAATTGCTGTTACTGCAAGCTTTACATACAGCCACCAAATTTATCCTGGCACATTTTACATGGCTTAGGTTTAAAAGACAACCTGTATCCCAAACTGGGTTTTATGAAGATGGAGAGTCTCTCAAATTAAAAATGGCAGACCTAGGTAAACCAGCACTGAGCAGAGAGCCTAGAGAATAGCATGCTGTACAATTTCTACTGAATTCTCCAGTGGAATCCATTTCCTCTCCAGAAGCAGACGATGTTTTTTGCATCCATGCTTTTCCACTGGGGAAGTTCCAGACTCCAAGCTTGCTCTGACGGCTTTTGTTTGAAGAGTAATTTTGAAGTCAATACCATGATGTTAGAATGCCTATCATGCTAGCAGGGAAGTCATCTATTGTCTTTGGCTGTTGACTTATCATTAAAGTTTCAGGTTCTAGATGCAGAATTATAATGCAGGATTATAGTGTTAAAAAAAATAGAAACTGACTTACAACTAGACTTTACAAGGCAAAAACACAAAAATCATTACTCGATGGGCATATTGCCAAATTTCCATATAGTTTGCTCAGGTTCATTTTTCCCTGAAGACAGTCATATTCTGCACTGTGGAGAACTTCCCAGAAGCCTATGTACAATGCTATAATGATTTAGGCAAGGTTTTGACCATTCTTTGAAAGTTGGGCATAGATCTACCTGATCTTTCCATATGGCTAGTTTTATTAAAGAGATTAGGGGAGGGACTTTTTCCTGTGTTATCAGCAGCTGAGGGTTAGGTTCATCTCCACTCCTCCTCAAAGCCTTGTAGAAACAGCAACATTGAACTCACAAGATTTGCAGTGATTTCACTTCTAGAGTAGGCAACACTATGCAAGTTAACAAAATCTCTCTAAAATTTCTCATAGATGCTACCCTTGTGCCACCATAAATGTGTTTATGTCAACAGAAGTTGCAAATAAAAAGGTGTTCAAGCCCACTGTTGCACTGCAAGGCCCCAAAATACTGCCCCAACCAAATGTAGTCAATTTGTGATGTATTAGTTTGCTGATTACATGTCCTGAAAATCCCCTGCAGAGGATTTCCACAAGCGTGCTTATTGGGGTGCTGCTGAGCTGCAACTTAGGGTGTGCATCTGTAAGCAGGAGAACACGCATAGGGGCTCCCACACTTGCAGTTATATTCCCTGGGAATTCCCCTGGCGTGAGCATCTTGCTGCTAGGCCCCATCTTGCGTGTAGCACCTGGGCTGTTCCACAGGATCAGACTCCAGAAATCCCAGGAGCAGCAAGGAGCTAAGCCTGAGGTCCAACTATTTATGGATCCCAATAAAGTGCACTAACACATAGGCTGGTGGAGCTGATACTGCCCTGAAGACAATGTCTGTTTTATAGCATGGATACTAGTTTACTTGCTGTTTGACTATTTAATTTTATCCATGGTTTGAAAAATCTCAGTACCAAACTAACTTAAAAGGCTGCAGTAGTACTAGAAACCATGCAAATACTACTAAGATCCATTGTCCTTCTAGACCAGTAGTCACCAACCAGTGGATCGCAATAGTCAGAGGCTCCATGACCGACCAGTCGATCTCGGTCTCAGTCCTAGGGTTACCATACATCTGGGTTTTCCCAGACATGTCCCATTTTTTTGGACCCCTGTCCTCGTGTCTGGGTAATGTGAGCAAATATCCAGGTTTCTGCTTTGCCTCTGCTTTCTCAGGCTGGCTGCTTGGGGCTGGGAGCAGCAGACAAGGTGATTGGCTGTTGGGGGTCACATGGTCTACATGTGCGCCTCGGCAAACTCCCGAAAGAGAGAGAGAGAGAGAGAGAGAGAGAGAAAGTGTGTGTTGCATGCACAGCACAGCTGGGGGGGGCAGGGGCGGCGGGTCGGGAGTGAGGGGCAGGGGGCTGCAGGGCACAGGCAGCATTGGGGGTGTAGGGGCTTGGGAGTTAGGAGCAGAGGCAGGGCATAGGCATATCACTGCCCCCCATCATATATTCCCCCGCTTCTCTTACCTTCCACCCTTCCTGCCCGCAAGTGTCCTCTTTTTAGGTACTGGAAAAATTGTAACTCTAATAAACTGTTGTTTCTACACTATTCTTTGAGGTAGATCCTGGGTTGCACTTTAATTCAAAAAGTAAGCTTGTGCTTAAAAAGGTTGGAGATCACTGTTCTAAACAAAGGACTTCAAGGTCTAAATCAGTTATCAGTTAGAACATGTAATTTAAAAGGCATAAATTCCTGTTTTACCTCTTCTTATCTCACTCTGAAGCATGAGAAATGACACCTAGATAATTTCCCAACGTCTGAATCAACTGGATGCAATTTTTCAAAAGTTATTGATTTAACACAGAAAAAACCGCCATTGTACTGAATGTGAGCCTCACTGGCCTTAACTCTGACGTTTTCTTGGTCAAAATGGTAGGAGAGCAATCCACTGCCTACTCTCATAATTTCCTAAACTGGGAACCTGAATAGTGGCAAGCTGCAACGGATCTTACTAAGAGACCACCCTTCTCCCCTCTGCCTCAATAAAATGAACTTGAATAATCCCCAGCATGCCTACGAAAACAGAGTGGTTCTCTTCCTCTCTTTGTTGAGAGATTATTCTCTTAGAACAAGCCCATATTTATCTACCAACTGTACTCTTGATGCCTTTCCCTTTTGCAGTTGTCTCTCCACAAATAGCATAAACCAGCCTTAATAAGTTGTGTGTGGTTTTTTTGTTTGTTTGCTTGTTTGTTTTACTGTGGGGTTTTTTTTAAATGCTTAAGGAATTAATACATCAAGCACACGTTTCACATCATAGTCTTTCCTCCAAGCCAGGAAGATCCACCACCACTTTCTTTTTGTATTTGGCTAGCTCCACTTGCTTCAGTAAAGTTGATTCCAGATTACGGAAGTGTTTTCAGTCAGGCTTGGTGGCTTACCTGCCTGAGTGCTTATAGCTTTATTGACTAAATTAACAGCCAATCGAGTACAGTCTTTGCATAAACAATTCATAATACTTTGCCTTTGTTCCAAAGTCTGTCTGTACTTTCAATATGCACAGAATCATTAAATCATTAAAAGTGAAGCAAGACTAAAGTACAACCCAAAGTTCCCATTCATCCTTCTTGGAGGAAATCAAAATATATATTGTACAGATGCTGTTACATGCAAGGTTCCTGTTTTAATTAAACAAACTTCTTGAAAGCTACAGTTGCTCTGCTTGACCATGATTAGCTCCAGCATTGAGAGAGATTTCTTTCCTATGCTTAATTTCATGTCCTTCATGATGCCAGCCTCAGGACTTCGAGTTAGTGCTGCTCCAAAGAATAGGAACACTTTATAATGTGAAAATTCATAAGGCAGAATGCTACTGACTGATTGTGGCAGGGCACCTTTGGGTGCCTGCCACTTCAAGGGCAGAGGCAGGCAGCTACCAGGTGTCTGATGAGGGCAGCTGCTTTGGAACATGAGGTGTATAATGGCTGCAGTTTGCTGCTGCCAGCCCAGGCAGAAACATCGCCTGGCTGAGTGGCATGGGAATCTAGAGGTGAGAGCAGGAGGCTCTTGGTCCTGGGCATGACCTAAAACTGCACCCTCCCAGGAATGGGTGGCCTGGTGGGGCTTCTAGTGGTGCAAGAGGCCCCAGGAAATGCCAGGCCAGTTACCCTGCTGGTGAAAGGCAGATCGGTGTGCCTTCACCCCAGCCCCCACCACGTGGTGGGTAATTCTGAGAGCTGGGGGAGTAGTGGGGGCCATGTATGCCCACATGTAGGTGCCTGGGTCCAGCAGGCATGCAGATCCCGGCGCCCCCAGAGGGGTTCATGTGTAGAGCACTGGGAGGCCCCGCCCAGAGTAGGGCTGAAGTGGGAGCAGGCCTGAAGGACAGTCCGACGGGTGTGCTGAGTAGGGCCAAATGGGAGTAAGCCTGAAGGCCAGCGCAAGGGTGAGCTCCATGAGAAGTCAGTTGCAAGCATGAGACAGAGACCCCAGGGTGGGGTGTAATGTAAAGCTGTCCAGTGAGGGGCTTGGGGAAGAACTAGCCCAGGGTTTGGCACAAGGCCGGACCACATAGCACAGGGGAGCTCACGGGAACCAAAGGACTGCGTGGTGAAGCCAGTATGTGAGCAGTGAAGCCTGATGGCCCAAGAGGGGCTGCTCAAGGAGGAGCAAGGGCAGTGGAGTGTGACCCAAGGGCAGTGGAGTGTGTAATGGGTGGTATGCCAGAGGCCCCAGTGAGAGGCGGGGCAGAGTATGAGAGGTGAGGCAGTGTGAATGCACGGGTGAGTGGAGCCAAACTTTGGATTGGGTTTGCTCTGGTCTCAGACCGGGGAGTAATACTAATCTGGCTGCCATCTGTGAGGCATGGGCTGTGGTGTAGGGGAGGTTCAGAGCTGCAGATAGCGCACCCTGGCATCAGGGCAGGACATGGGCAGTCTCCCACATTATACCAGCAGTTTATGGAACAGCAAAGGTGTGGCAGGGGAAACTGGGCAGACTGCCCAAGGGACACAGGTGGATGGGCCAGCATGAGGCCTGGCCCCAAGAGCTGCCCCCTGTCACACTGATGTTGTCCATTTGATTTTTTTTTTAAAACTAACAGTTGGATCCGTGTCCTAAAGTACAGCAAGTGTCTTGTTATGACAATATTTTAATGAAAAGTTGGCAGTATTCAGTCATTTGCTAGTTGTGAGTATATTTAAATAAACAAGTTAAATTCTGTGAACATTAACTTGTATGTCAACCCCCCTAGCTCCTTCTCAACTACTTGAGACAGCTGCGTTAATCATCTTATGTAACTGAAGTCCATTTGGAAAACTACTGTAGACATAGACAAAAATAGGCCTCTGCATACTGTATTGCTGCTTGTTCCTCTGCTAAATCCACAATCTAAATGTTGCTTTGAAACTCACTAAATTAAGGATATTTTTTTTATAAAGAAAAGAGAAGCATAGTCATTTCATTTTGATATACAAGGAAAGCATGCATATGCTAAAGTTCAGGAAACTAACAGTTTTAACAAAACTATTTTTGGAATACTACAGGTTTTGCAACTGTCAAAGTAACTCTTGGTAACTGCAAAGCTCAAATTTAAATAATTGTTCTTTAAGCTGCTACAGTTTTTTTTAATATGTTATATATAATGGAAACAAGGCACTAATAAAATTAAACAGACTACACATACTGGCACATTAAGGCTATATGGCTTTCCTTTTCTCTCTTCAGTTTGCTGACAATGGGCAAACCAGAGTCAGCAAACTGAAAAGACAGTCTAGTCACCACTAATTTAAGATCTGGGTAACAATGATTTTACAGAAAACATACTAGTTGACAGACTAGAAAAATGTCTGCAAAGACTATCATTGTTCCAAGGATTAAGGGTTGGGAGGGAAGTGTCTTGTGCTTGATGTACAAAATGTCTAACTCTTATTCACAAAGTGAACCCCACCCCGCTCAAAACATGGGTTTTTAGAAGGGATGTAAGACATAAACTTCAGAAAAATCTTATGACTCATGTTTGTACACTTAACAGCACTAACATTCAAGGGTGCCACGGGGTGCCAGGTAAAAGATCTTGCAGCACCCTGGTTGAGAATCACTGGTTTACATGCAGACCCTCTCTGCCCTGGAAAGTAAAGACTTATCACAGCCAACAACATTTTGTGAGCCAAATTCTGCTCTAACTGACAGTTCTGGCAATCGCACTATTTCAGCACAGGAACAGAAGAGAAAAGCTGAACACTACAACTGGAAATTCAGCAGGTTGGTAGATATTTATAAACCAAGAAATAATCCAGTCTACAGAGATGTGGCACTGGCTGTGCCTGCCACTTTAAGGGCCTGGAGCTAGCAGCTACCAGATGCCTAATGAGGGCAGCCATTTTGAATCTGGGGCTGCCCATATAAACAGGGCAGTTCTGCTGCTGGAGGCCAGGCAACAACATCTCCTGGCCGGAGGGCTCCTGATATCATCTGGAGGTAAGGGAGGAGCTGTAGGGGATGTTATGGAGGCTCCTGGTCCTGGGTACGACCTAAAACTGCACCCTGCAGTGAGTGGGTTGCCTGGTGGGGCTCCCAGTGGCACGGGAGCCCCCAGGAAATACCAGGCCAGTTACCACCCTGGTGAAAGGCGGGTCGGGGAGCCTTAACCCGACAGGGGGTTAAGGGGGGTGAAATCTCCAAAGAGGAGTATACCTCCTCAGCTCGGGCCTGTAGGCGAGCTGTTAGGAAGGCCAAGG